ATGCTGAAAATTTAGTTGGGCAGATCACATCTAGTGCACATTTTGCTAGTAATAATGGGAAATTCTGAAAATTCATCCTGTTGCTACCATAAGTTAATAGATGTTAGTTGGGAGGCAGCAGTGGTAAGAAAATATAGTTCGGTTAAAGCAAACAGACATTTTATGAAAAGGGTTCCTCACTTGATGTAATGCTACTCTATTGTAAATGAGCATCTCACTTTTGCACATTGTGTCTTTAAATAAAAGCATCATATTCTTCATTCCAGAGCTGTTAACCCCAGTGGGCTTCCTAGAGCTTGCCTAATTGCTTGCCTTAATTTATTAAATATAACTGAAGCTAATAAGGAAAAATACATTTTACTCTAGACCTTTTTCAAAAGCCTCGAATATGAATATTCTAACCTGGTGGCCCCTCCTTGTAATCTGTTTTGCTTGCACAGATTGTGTACCACAACTGTCTGTCCTCTTCTGTCTTCATGTGTGTGCTCAATGGCCAACAATAATAATGCAATAGCCATTGTGTTCCGCACTGTGGTGCATGTGACTATGATGTGACTTATTAGTATGTTGCACTCGTTGACAGGCACAAAGCCAAGATGTCAACATGTTTGTAAAGATGTCTTGGAAAGGTGATTGAACTTTTAGCATGTTGTGATACGGGTGAATGCAAAGTGATGCTGAGAAAAACATTGCTTGGCCAGGTTTATTTTGAAAGCTTGGAACTGTGTACTTAAGCAAGTATGTTTGTGTGACGTTTCAGCTTCTTTTCATTTAGCAGAGCACAAAGATTTTTTGGTTTTTTGGTCAGGTGTGAGATAAGTAAACATTTTGAAATAAAATATATAAGTCCCCAAGCAGTTATTATTTTCTGAAGTACCTGGATTGTGATTTCATTTTTCATTAATAGTTGTTGTTTCAGATTTACTTCTTGTAGACTTCATTTTCATGAGGACACAGTAGGCTTTTGATTGTGCTTCAGGGAAGAAAAGAGAGGAACTCTTTAAAGATAGAGTATTGGGCCAAAGACTGCCTTCTCTTTAGTTTTTACTATTATTTGGCAGCACTGTAGTCTCATAACATTAGCAGGCAGTGCCCAATGCCTGAGAGTCTGTAGTAATGTTTTGCCCTGGCCTTGTTCACATATTAATGCCCAACGACTCCTGCTTTCTGCTGATGTGCATCTGCTGCCTTGTGTCACCACCCACCTGCAGTGGCTTTGGTCTGCAGCCATCACACCGAGTCTACTGCCCATCGAGGACATCATTTTGGTTGAATTGGGAATTAATTGTGTGACAGATGCACCTAAGTAGGGATCACAAGAGGTGTTTCAAGTGTGCATATGTATGAGAGCACTGAGTGAATATATTCAACTGTACACTCTTGCTTGGGTCCTGTTGTCACAAGTCACTGGAGAAGTCTTTGCAGAAGATAAAGTGAAAGATGTTCTCTGTTCAAATTTCAGTGCACTTGGATGATAAAAGCAAAATACCTTGTTGTGTCTTTCAGCCATTTTTTAATATCTGTTTTCAAAAAATGGATGAGAAAAATAATGAATGATGAAATGTAGTTTAAGACTTAATTTAAATGATGTTTCTTAATGAATACTACTGCATTAGGAACTAGGCTTTTCCCACAGTTCTGTTGGGGCTCTTTGAGTGTACTGTATCCAAAACTGCTTTCCTATTCCATTTCTCTGGAGAGCTGACTTGGTACCTTCTCACTGAAAGATCCTCTTTGTGTGACTTGCTTGGCCTTTCTAATGGGATCAATTGCAAACTCTGTCCATCAAAATCAGTACTGCTGTATTTCCCCCCTCCTCAGTGATGTTGCTCCAGTTCTATGGATAGCTGATGAAGCTCACTAATCTGCAAAAAAAACCCAAAACAACCAGAAATGAAGTTAACTCTTGTAGTAGGTGGCCTTCTATTTCCCAGGTTGGACTGGCTCAGCTCAGGCCAAATATCAGACTGACTGTGCTGGTCTAAAGGGGACAGAGGGAGGGTTTGTGTCTGCTAGGGCGGTGAAATTGCAGTATCTCTTCTTCACATTGGCTTAAACTTGTTGCAGTTTCTTTGTGTCTCTCTGGGTAAACAATCATCCATAAGGTACAGCCATCACTTCACTTGCCAGTATTCTTTTCAGCTCTCACACTGTCTGCAGATAGTGCTGCTTTTAGGATAATGTAAAGTTTTATGAAGACAACCATGCATTCTCAGCCACTGGCATTTCTGTGTGTTCCTTCAAATGTCACAGGTTTGGGTTTGGTGTGTTATGCTCATTGAGCTGAAAATACACTCCATTAGAACAGCTGATCAGCAGACCAGTCTTCATCAGCCAGAAGATCTCTGGAGCAGTGCTCTGTTAAAAAACCCCAACAGATACAAGTCTGAATGAACAGGTTTTTCTCAAACATGTGTTGCTTATACACACTACTGTGCTTTCAGAAGGGCTTAGTTTTTCATAAACTTGAAGCAATATTGCATTTCTTATGGTAGTTCTAGCTTTTAATGCATTCTCAGTTCAGAAACTGTTGAAATGTAGAGAGTGTCGAGGTGCTGAATTGACACTGCTCACAACTGTTGTTGCATAGAAAAAGCTGTTGTTTAAAAGAAAAAAACACACACACACACATACCAAAAAAAAAAAAAGCCTTCCTGTATGTTTATATCTTGGCTTAACACTTTTTACATAATTTTAGAGAATTTGAATGTTGGTAAAATGTTTCCCTGACACCTCTCAATGGGGAAGAAAGGCTATTTTAACAGTCATTATAGTATTGGGTTTGAGCTTTCAATTGAGTTCATCTTTCTTTTAAGTGATACATTAAATCTCAGTGTAACTTTGGTAAAGAGTAGTGCCAGGCTATAGAGCTAGTCTTTGGAGTGTGTTTAGAGATACGGATTTAGCTGTAGAATTAAGATTGTGTTAAAGCCTATGTAAAGTAACTTTGGGTGTTAAAACTCATAAAGGTTGAAAAATTAGAAGGTAAAAAAATAGAAGGCAAAAACAGTGCAACTTTGTGATTATAGATAAAAATTGGTCTGTTTTCTATGTACATTTCTTTCTCAACAATTGTTGGGTATAATTAGAGGAAGAGAGAGAAAATGGAACAATTAACACACCATATGTACAAAACAAAACAAAAAACCACCTCCAGTCTGTAGGTGTTAATACTGAGCAACATTTGGTTTTGTCCCATCTATCTTTTTTATGTAGGTAGCATTTACTCATTTATATTGCATTTTGAAAGATTTGTACCCACTAATAGATACATGCTGTTGTTGTTTTTTCTTTTAAGCTAAATATATATATGTTTGTTGTTGTATCTCCTGGAAACCTGTCCTTTCTTTCAGAAAATATTACATGTTTTGCACAGTTTAACCCTCCATATGTATGTGGGGTGATTTGAAATCTCTCCATTATCAAGCAACAGAATTGTACTATATATTAATGACTGGGGGTTGTTTCTTTTCTAGAAGAAATAATCAGCTTCCCCTTCATGTCTTGCTAGGACAACAGCTGCAGATGAGATTGAGCTTCCATATTTAATACATTCTATTAACTTCACACATCCAAACACACACTGGCTCACTCCCTGACGCACCCCAGTGTCACATTAGAGGTGAGCAGGCCCTAATTAAAAGCAGGCACCATCTGCCGGAGTGCGGTGGCAGAGTGGCACTCCACAGCCATCCTGAGTCCTGTGATTGGAATGTATTATTTATGAGCTCAAAGACAAAACACGCTGCTTGGCTGGTGAAAGCTGCATTAGGAGCTGGATAGCACCATCTAATGGAATGGAGTGCCACTGGCTATTCATCTTTCCTCTTCCTCTCTCCTCAGTCTACTCCCCCAATAATTTTATTTTGCAGTCTTGTCCTTGGATTTTCTGTGATAGTGTTTCAGACAATTTTGTCTCTCATATTCTGCTTTTATACAAGATTGGAAAGGGTTGTTGAAATATTAAACTAATTGTGGGGGAATTGTGCAGCCTTTTGTTTCCTTCCGGTGCCACACATAGGGTTTTGCTTTCTGTAGCAGAAGTGATACTGATGTGATGTGGTGGTACAGAAGAACACAAGGAAGATAGATAAGCAAGATCAGTTTACTGCATTTTTCCAGTTCCTCCCAGGGACCCATGTAATGGAAGTATCCACTGCTCCATCTGAAAATTCTATTTTCATATGGAAATTGACCCTAACTAGGGGGGAGGGAAGGCAGGATGACAGTACACTACAGACTGTGTGAAATTTCTTTACTGTATTGAAAAGAAAGGGCAGGATTTGGGGAAAGCTGCAGCTTTGGACCTTCCTCTCTGCAAGCAGAGATCATAACCTCTTCCAGCTTGCAGAAATCATGTTCTGTTATTGCTTCTTAGTGCGGAAATGGATGAGGAGGTGTTGGACTGAGGGGTGAAATACACTTTGTCAGGAGAGGAAAAGGGTGACAGGGAAGGAGCCCTTTTTGTGTTAGTTGGTCCACCAATCTACTTTGGTTGACTACTAGATTACAGCACTGCATCTAGTAGAAATGTATATTGTGACAATGACCTTTTGGATATGCAGGTTAAGAATAGTCATGCTGATTCAAAATAATCTAGGGAATAATTTTCTGGTCCTTAGCCTTTTTGTAATGTTCCTGAGTTTTGCAGTATTCCATGCTGGGTATCCAGCAGTATGGCTTCAGCACAAACAAGCAGGTAGGACTGGACTGAAACTTGAAATATGACATTTTTCAACAGTAGCATCTAATAGAACCTCTTTTTTTAAAATTACAGAATGCGGTTGCTACTTCAACTCGGGCAAAACAAAACCCTGAATAAAATGATATTTATTTTGCTAAAATTGAGCAAAATAAATAAATAAATAAATAGATAAATAATTAAATAAATATGGGAGGTGTGCATTTTATTTTTTGTATCAGCATGTTTTAAAGAATGTTGAAATGATATAAATCATGACACATCTATGATTACATGTCCTCTTATTGTTTGTGTTTAGAACATACGCCATCAGAAGGATAAAAGATGCCTTTAGAGAAAACAAGAACATAACAGACTCTGAAAAAATAGAAGAACTACTGAATAAAGCCAAAGTAAACCTACAGGTTATTCAACGGCAGGTATGTTAATTTCTCTAATTTTTTATGGGAGTTGTTCACTACTCACTTAACTGTCTTATGCCACTAGAGATGGAAAAAAATATTTCCTTGCTAAAGACATCTCTTGATAAATATGAGTTTTTGTCTGAATTTGTCTTTCATCATAGGTTCAGAGGGGTGACTTTGACTCAAAATAGTCTCACTTTCTTCTGTGTTTGTTTTTTCCCATCTCCAGATACAGTGTTAGAATAGTAAAAGAACAAGAAAATCCTGAAGCGAATTAAGTAAATGCTGGCTAAATATGTCCAAACAGGGTGATAGGTTCTTCTTTGGAAAATTTGAGTCACTGGCAATATTCTTCTTCAACCTTGTCTGAGTAGCATTTATAGCATCTCTTTTCCTTCCACTAGGTACCATGTTGCTAAGAAATGAAGTAGACTTGGTTGAAACTTCAGATACTTTTTAAATTTCTCATTCATACTCACTGTCTATCTAAAGTGACCACTAAAAATTGGAAGAAGCAAGTTTCTATGCCTGAACTCTCTGCGAGAACTTACAGCACTTAAGCTGCTCCTCCTTGCAAAATCTGTGCTTGCTGACAGCAGTCAGAGCTCAGTAGTACTTTTATTAAACACTGAATGAACATGTGCACCTGCTCCTCCATGGTTTGCTTTAATATGGCTCTTTAAACAACCAGCAGGTCAGTTAGCTGGGTTCTTATTTTAGTGGGGAGCTGGGCCCTTTGATTTGACAATTAAGTATGGATGCTTAGGTGCAAGATATTTTTTTTTTATTTTCATCTCCCAGGGTGTTGTTTTGTGCTACCATAGTTTTGCTATCTTTTTTTAACTCAAACACTGCTAATTTTTTATTTAAGTGTTTCTCAAAGAAGCAATTTTGATTGGATTGTTCCAATGCAATTACATTTGAATGCTGGGGTGTTTTTTCTCAGATCTCTAGGTGATAATTGGCATTTTCAGCTCTTCTAATTCTTGCTTAAGATAAAGTCTTGCTAAATAAAAACTTTCCAATTTTTTTTTCCCAGCAAAACAGGATTCTACTGATCTGAGTCCTAATAGGTCTGGGACAGATTTTAAAATAAAACTCTTTCCTCTCTAAGTCCTGTGTAAACTCAGATTACCTTGTTTCTGTACATCCTAAAAAAAAGATATTATTTCTCTAAAACAGACTTCACAGGCTGGACTTTTGTCTAGGGTAAGGGTCTTGCCTTGCACCTTTTTTGAAGTTTTCTTTTAGCCTAAAGATTTTCCCTCAGCATCAGTCAGCATCTTTCTGTTATGCATTTATTACTGTATCGCTGGGACATACCAGAATAATTCAGAATGACCTCAGTTATTGCTAAGCCTGGAGGGTTTTGCGTGTTTGTTTCAAATATCAGCTATTTAAGGGCCTTCTTCAACATGAGAAGCCAAATTGCTGAAGTTGCTTTTAAATCAGATCACTGTCATTCCATGTAAGAATTTCAGGGAAAATATACTTGAAAAGCAAGGAGTATTAAAGACACTGACACAACTTTCCATTTTTAACACTGCTAGGACAGTGAAACTTATGTTGAAATATATCTTTAATGTTGCACTTCTAGACATTTTCCAGAGAAAGTACAATCATGCTGCATCCACTTTTGGAAGGATTTATCTTACGTGTTTTCAAGAATAATGGATAATAAATATTATACAGTAACATAATAGGCAATGGAACTTTCTAACAAAAAATAATCAGAAGAAAATTACTTTACCAAGATAATTTTTTGACATGCATCCCTGGAAGAGTTGATTGTTTGGGTATTAAAGATTTTTTTTTCCCCTAAAAAATTGCAAACTGTTGTGCTTTGCAGAACTTCTGTTATGTTTCGATGTCATCTCACTCCCATCTGTAAAGCAAGAGATAAATGTAAAAATATTAACACTGTCTTAAGAGTTTTTCATCAGGACTATTAAAAACCTGACCATCTCAGTTCATATTAATATTTATTTGGTGTCAAATTTCATCATGCTCTGTCGAAAAAGTTCATTCTCCCTCTTTGTTTAATTGAAGACCTAAGTAATGAAGTCATCTGACATTATTAAGACTTTGTATTTAAAACTAACCAAGCATAATATAAAGTGCTTTTATTTTTAAATGCAGAAGCGCTGAAGCAAACATGAGCTCTAGAGTACCATTTTTTGCTTAGTTTGGAGTTTATTATGATGTGGTTCATCTTGGTATTTTTCTAGTGTGTCAGTAGAAATTAAATAATATCCCTCTTTGCTGACAATTTGTTGTTACTCTAAAATCAAATTTATATTCACTTTGGATTCTAATTTATTGTTTAGTCATCAAAGTGACCATTGAAGTGTAAGGTTCATAAATAACTATTTGAATCAGCCTAGTGGGAAATGTGAAAAGTGACAGATTACTGTCATTTTGTTCATGTCAGTCACTGTACAGTTTGCTGGAGTGTTATAAAAGTTGCTTTATAATGCTGAAAAGCATGGAGGAACATTAATCTCCAGCTTAGTCCTCTCTGCTTATTATTGGGTTTGATTTTTTAATAGCCTGGCTAACGGAAGGAACAACTCATTTTCAACACTGTTTGCAAAGATTTCTGTGGGTGTGTGTTTACTGTGTAAACAGCAAAATTTGGTTGTTTACACAGTAGTTGTTTTGTCTTTCCTGTAGAGAAGGGTGTTGTGAGAAATGCATTCTCACAAATAAGTTTGAAATAGAAAGTTTTAAGAAGTTTTGAGGTGAAGTCTGGAAGGTGTTTGAGGATTGTCATAACAGCCATTTCCCAGCTATGCTAATATGATTTCATTTGTGAGTTTCTATTACTATTAGTAATGTTACTATGTTAGTGGTAGGGGAATTTCCACTGAAATGTACTGCTGCTGCTGCTGAAATTTAAGATTTATGAAAGCCACTGTGGAGATTGGCTAATATTAAGCGTTTTGAAGTTTTCTTTATGCCATTCTCTCTCTCGGGTTTTGAACTGAAAACCTAACAGTGAAGTTCAGAAGCAATAGTAGACGTGTGTGCTCTGATTAAAGCCTTGTTTCACTTACAGGTTATCTCATTCTTCTCTAGTGCTTTCTCCTCAGTTTTATATTGTGGCTGGAAGATGTCAGTCATCTTGTCCAGCTAAGTAAGATTATTCTGTTTTTCTTGGCAGCTCTGAGCCTTTGTTATCAATTTTACTGGTTTTAACATCACACAACTACAGTACTCTTCAATAAAAGGGTTTTAATATTTCACAGCTTTTGTTTGTCTCTTTAAATAATCCAAACTGATGAGATGCTGGTTTGCACAAACCTTGGTCAGGAGACAAGAGATGCACCTTGAGTGTTCAGACAGTCGGGACTTGGGAATCTGCCTCTTTTACAGCTGGCTGGTCGTCTGTGCTTTTTAAGGGAACAGATAAACTTTTCTTTTGGGTCTGAGCTGTTTTTCCTTAGGCTTGACCTCTTACGGTTCCCTTCATGAAGGAATGTGGTGTTGATGCAGGAAACCTCAGCTAGAAAGGTTCCACTGATAATTATAAATACTGAGTACTTGCAGCATTTTTCATGTTTGCAGCATGTTGTAAAGTACATTCTAATCCTTGAAATATGCATTGCTTGTAGTAACTTCAGCTCCATTTCTCTTAATGAAATGCTACATGACTGTGCTTTGATAAAAGCCCATGTCATACTTAGTGTAAGATTTTGGTCTCGTATTCTTATGTTTTTCCATAGTCGAAATTCTTAGTATGGTCTTGTGCTGAAACTTGTGCAAAATAAGAACAAATCTTCTGGATCTTTTATTTTTCAGCAAGCCAAATTGCCAGTGCAGCTGTGTATAGCCAAGTACTGTGCCTTCTTGAGGTGTTTATTAGCAGTATCTTATCTTGGCAATATTTTGAATTTGAGTAACACTTGAATGGAAGTGGAAATTAAACTGAATCAGTGTACTAATACAGCACTCATATTATTATGAATTAATGACCATAAATCCATAAGGAAACTTTCTGTTAATCAAAATAACATAAATATTAAAGCATGTTTAATAAATATTAGCAAGACAAGCAATTTCAATTATAGTTGTTATAAGAAATGAAAGGTAGGAGTACTACCCTAGTTTACTGCACCTGGTTTGAATTGACTGCTCGGCCTTTGAGCAGCAAATATTCCTATATTAGTAATTGTCAAGGTGTATTACTTCTGGACTGAAAGCATTTTGTTGAGTATTTGGAGGACTGGTACCAATTTACACAGTTGTGAGTTTGTGACATTGGAATTGACTGTGTGAAGGAACTTACCAAACTTTAAGAAATGTTCTGGGCATCTGCACAAGTTGTGTTTATACTGCAGAGCACTGTAGGCTGGATGCCCTTTGCAGGAGAAGATTCATTTTGAAAACTCTTGTTAGTATTAGATTTGAGCTACAGGTTGTATTTATGTCTAAATTTTATGAATATGTAAGAAAGTTGCAAAATGCTGTGTAATGTGTTTCATTACATTGGCAGCAGTTCTGAGGCCATGAGGAAAGAATAGCTGGAAAAGCCCTCTGAACACAAGGGGCAGCACCATGCTACTGTTCAGGAATGAGTATAGTATTGGCAAGTCATGTCTTCCTGCTGGCAGACAGTTCTGTTGGAGTTCTAATATGGTTCATTCTTATCAAGTTTGTCATTGCAAGGAAGTTTTAAAATCACAGATTATTTTGCTGCTTTTCTTGAGAAGCTCTTCAAATTTTATCTCTTTTTTTTCCAGCTTCACAGTGGCAAATACCTATTTCTCTACAAAAATACAGATTTTTCTACCATGAAATTGTAGACTTACAGTTCTTAGATAAGGAGATTGCCCTTGGAAGTTTGCTGGGGCTTTCACTCATGCCATGTATTTTTATTTATTACAGTTGGACATGATTTTCCAGCCAGGATAGAGGTGACATTACACACTGAGAATTTTTCTTACCTCTCTGGCCATTTAGTTACACTTAAAGCAAGTGTAGACACAGTAAAGTTTTCAAATGTTTCACCCACAGTAGAAGAGTGGGAGTGAGTGGCATAATCAAACAATGAACAAATATCCTGGTAAAACAGTTTTTTCAAGTCACTGCACGATATCTATTAACTACCTATACACTTCTAAATCCTTGGATTGGCAGCTAGAACATAGAAAATGTTTGGCATGGGCCTCTTGCATTTCTCTTGCTCCTAGCCTGTTGCAGTACTGGTAGTCAGTTTGTAATTGCTTACCACATCATGAGTTCTCACTTGTTTGGTTCCTTGCCTGGAATTACCAAAATTATGCTGGAAGCTTGTGGCAAAGCCACAAACTGAATTCAAATCAGCTGACTCGGGGTTGAGAAGCCACTGGGGGCATTTTCCTGTGTTTGTTGGTGGTTTTCATTTTAATTTTTTTTAAATTTTAAAGCTCTTTGGGGTGATATTTTTAGGTATTTTCCTTGAGGTAGTTTAAATCCTTTTGTTATGTTCATGTTGCCTTTACTTCACAAGTGGTTTGAAAACTTCAAATGCCTAATAAGAGTAACCTACCAGGAAGCATATGATTAAGCAAGACAGCGGAAATCCTTAACATATATTAAAATTCAGAGCTCTTGACTTAGAAAGAGACTCAGATGCAGGTGAAGGAATGTCAAACATAGGATGGATAATACCTGTTTTTCAGTAAACAAAAGAAAGCTTCAAATTGAAATTGGGAAACAGTAAATTCAGAGCTATACTGGTTTTGTATTTCAGTAGGAGAGTAAATATCCATGAGGTTTTGGGGGTTGAAAAGGAGGAGGAGCAAAGAAAAAGGTGTCGTAGGAGTGACTTTGAAAAAGGCTTGGTAAATTTAAACAGAAACCCAACTGAATCAGAACTTGTCCTTCCACAGAACTTGTTAGCAGTGGTGTCTGCTTTGGCCAGCTTTTCCAAATACTTTTTCATCTTGGCATGTAGACTAGCTTTGGAGATGTGCAACATTGGAACAGATGCCTAAAGCCCAGAGCTGTCATTTCAGCTTAATTTCTGGCATCTGAGGGTGCAGGAAGTGTAATAGACATTTTACTCGTCTTCAGGTGGCATGGCTCTCCAGGTTACACCTGTGTGAGTCTCCAGAGCAGTGTTACTCCTTAGGCTTTCATTTAACTCTCCTGATGGAGAACAAGATTGTGTTTTCACAAATGATTTGCTGCTCTTCATTCTGCTGACTAAACTACAAGTGGCAGGTTCTGTCTGCAGTATCAAATTCCAAAGTAGACTTTGCATTGAAAATAACCTTTAGGCTGCCAGCAGAGGCGATTCAGAGGTAGAATGAGGCTTTGTCTTTCTGATGTAGGAGCTTAGGGTAAAACACAGCATTTGATGTATGCAGTAACCTTTCCTAAAAATAAAGACTGCTGAGTGTTGGCCAAGGCATTTAAAATACTGTAATTATCTGTCATACAGAACTGTCATTATTTTTGTTGCATGTATTTAATGGCTAATTCAGTGAGGTTGGTGCTTTATCATAAATAGTAACAGTAGTTATATAATACATCCAGAGCTGTGAGCACCTGATGTTCTGCACAGATGAGGGCTGTCTGAAGGACAGGAGAAGGACTTACTTTCTCATGAGCAACTCGGCGTGGCAGTATGTCATGTCCGATAAAGCAAATGCTGAGTCTAAACTTCCACATGGAAAAGAGTAACTTTTATCAGCCTGGCTGGTCAGTAGCTCCTTGAAACAGTTAGGAGTGTTAACCATTCTGTGCTGAAGAAAGCATCAGAAGCAAGGAAGGATCACATTTTCAGGCAGATGTGTCCCTCTACCATTTGCCCCTTTGTGCTTTCTGCTTTGCTGTGTTTGGTGTCTCAAGGGTTTCAGCCTGGGGTGTAAATAAATGTCATTAGGGGTGGCTGTTGCAACAAAACTTCAAGGAGGCTTTTCCAAATGAGGTAACAGCAAGTGTGTCTTTGTCTTAGTTCAAATAAAAAATACTGTCAAGAGAGGGAAAGTAGAAATAAGTGCTTTAGTTTTGATCACAGAGCAAATGACTTCTGCTGTGTTTCTAATCTGATTGTGTGATCTAGCTTTGATGCCTGTCAGTCTGGTTTGCAGTGGTGCCCATTGAGGTAAGGTTTGAAAATTGAGTTTCTTGCATTGAAATGTATTAACCTTTGAGCAACTTCTTGTCTTCCTTGCTGTGTGTGATGTCTGCTGCAGAGCAGAACATTTGTGGAGGTTCTTTTTTACTGAGTAGAAAAAGGAGAAGTATGGCAATCTTGTGTGTTATTTATGAAATGTATGACCTTGTAAAAGCCTTGTGTATGTATTGTGACTTACATTCATATCAGAATATTGGTCTCTCATGAGAGTCCTTTCTCAGGGGTAAACAAGTTTTAAGTACAGCTAGACCTTGAGGAAATTAGAAGGACTCCTGTTTTGAGGACTTCTAAAAAAGGGAGAGAGAGACAAAAGTGCTGTTATTGAAACAGTGATCTCTTGATCTCTCATTGTTTGTTGGTTTCTTTTTAATCTGTTGTATTTTTATTTCTTTTTTCCTTGGTGTGAAAACTTTCCATCCTGATTTTGTACTGCTCATTGGAAGGAGACACTGTCAGATTCATTGGCACTGCAACTGAGCAGGCACACTTCCCTCCAGGAGGAGCTTTGGCACATTTGTCTGGTGCCTCTGATCCCCAGGAGGCTCTGCTCTGCTGCCCTTGAACTGCAGTCTGTAATTCAGGATGACAATGTTGGTATTGGTACTCTCGCTTCTGACAAGTCACCTGGTCCCATAGCTGTGGTAAAATGGGTTTTTTAATGACATTTCTCCCCCAACCCCATGCTCAGTCATCAGTCTCTCAGCATATTACAATTTCAGTTTTTCCTTTTACAGAGGAAAATTCCAGAGTTTTTCCATTTCCAGCTTACAGAGAGAAGAGGCTCCTCCTGAAGCTACTTGCATTCTTTTCTGGCCTTTCAGATGAACATCGCTTCTCCCCACAGCACACTGAAAATATGTTTTAAAACTTTCCCCAGCCACTCTAAATCAGATGCCTTTTATTTGTTTCTTTCACAGATGGTTTTTCAAGTCTAAAGAATTTATTCATTTTTTCATTTTCAAGATAAAGGCAGTCTGCAAAGACTTCCATTTGCCTTATTTGCTCTAAGAATCTGGTTTCATGACTGATTCATATTTGCCCATCTAATTATCTTTGTGCTTCTGTTGGTTGTCACTAAAACTTTTCCCCTTTTCCAGTTTCAAAGGTGATGCTTGCTTCTTTCTTACTTTAAAATTGCTTGTCAAAATGAAAGCTGTTTATACAACCCATCAACATTAACTATCGTTTTACAAAACTGAAAAAAACAGTTACTTTACAAAAAAACAACCCTCTTCATCATCCTTTGTGTCTGGTATGTCTGCATATATTGTAATCTTTTGGGCATCCACTGAATACCCCTCTGGGTTATCATAGACCAAACATGGTCTCTGTCACCAATACCATTTGAGTGAATTTGCAGCCAGGTAAATTCACAGCGATCTACTTTTATTTTGACAATAAACATATATGTGGCCTTCACATAAAAGCTCTTTCAAGCAAAGAAGCTTTATCATTGATGTGTTATTTTACAGTTTTGTCTTTTTTGCAGTAATTCAGATTCTGTCTAGTGTCTCTGTAGTAAACTGCTTGTATTTGAGGGAAATGTGTTTGATCCATGAAGTTGTGATGAAGCCAAGCTTAGGGAAGAAAGTTGCGAGACTCTAATAGCAGCATGTCTGATCAGGCCCTTGGAAGTTTAGGCAGAGAAAGCTGTTTTCTAGACAAGAGTGTAGAGTGAAGTTTAATTAGTGTTTACGCAGTCTCCTTGGTACTTGGTGCATTGCTGCTGTCTTTAGCTTTGGGCTTTCTGAGGTGAGCCTGGGTTTTTTTTGGCCATTAAGTGCTACAGCTGCAGTGCCCTTCATCTTTGTGACAGGCATTATGCCAGTACATTTATTCCGAAAGCAAGTAAAAAGAAGAAGAAAGAAGGAGCCCAAACTCTTCCAGTCACAGTTAAATCACAGTTTGACTGATTCCTGTTGTTATGCTTTCTGGGGTAAGTCAGATACATGTTTCCCCTCCGAGGTCTGTGCTGCCTGGATGTCCTTCCTTGGCTGTTGGCTTGGCAGGAAGTGAAGCATTACTAAGCAGAGTTTTGAACTCACCTTTATAATTTTGTCACCAGTAGAAAATGCATAAATGCATAGTTTAAAACAAAAATCTGCTGTTTATGTTGTAAAATTAAGGTCCTGTCCCTCATCAAGGCAGTTATGAATATTGCAGTGTAGTGGCTAAATAATACATTCATAGTTTTTCTTCAGTGAACATAATTGACTTGCTGAGCAGTAGCTTTGATAATTCTTAACCATATTTTTACCCAAGTGTGTGGTTAAAAAGAGCATTATGTGACCTAATCACGTAGCCTTTCACATTAATACAGATCTTGTTTATAATTCTCTTGATTTTGTTGTTGACCCAGTACTTTGGTTCTGTGTTCAGATTATCTTAACTTTAAATGAAAATATTTCTTGTCTCACAGAAGTCGAATTTCTATGCATATTTGTCAGTAGTGAATACTTAGTGGGAGTGATTACTCTCTAACTGCTCGTGCCAGTATACCTCTGGGAGGTTAATCAATCTTGTGCTTTTTAATTGACATCAATAATGTGTTTACATTTATCAATATTTCTTAATTGTCAAGTTATAACTGTGGAACTTCAATAATAAATCATACCAATGGTTAACTTCATACATTAGATTTTTAAGAGTCTCCTTAAGCACTTTGACGTGTTGTAAATTGCTTTTAAAATGATGTATGTATACTCGTGGGGGAAGAGCAGAAAAAAATTGGTATGCAGAGTCATGCTGTCAAATAATACTGCAGAACTGGCCCGTTGACAGTAACATACCTTTACCACATGTAGGATATGCTTTATGGGAAGAAAATGGGAGTAAGTCTTTTCAAACTGCTTGTTTTATTACTAATAATTTTGTGACTATGACAGTGCTCATACATTTGTTGTGTCATCCCCAAGGAATTGTCAGGGCTGTGACTTTTTCCATTCTCTCAGCTGCTGAGGGAAGACGCAGGACAGAAAGAATTACCAGTTCTACTGCTCCTCTGCAGAAGTAGCAGTGAGCTGTGGGAGATCAAGGCATCCTGATGCGGTGGAAATGAAGGAGGCTAGCTCTGTTTAAATATAAGCATATGTTTAAAGACTTGGGTGCACAGGGAAACAAATTATTTGCTCAAGTTCACAAAATATGCTTACAGCAGGAATTAAGGCATGAAAGTCTAAGTCTTACAACATATACCTTCATCATCTGCCTTGCTCTGTTCTCTGTCTCCTTTAAACTCAAGGAGCAGTATTCTGAAGAAGGAAATCTGTACAGACAGAAAGCTGGCAGGATGCTGACCACATTGTGTCAGTGTTGCCATGTTTTATGGGCTACATCCAAGACAGTATAAGAACTGTAAACCTTGCCTAATGGGCAGTGAAGAAAGAAGATGATGCTGTTTTCTAGATAAGTGAAAACCAACGTGAACACCAGGAACATAGAGGCTGGTTTTTATTTTAAAAGACTAAGTATTAAATATTCCAGTTTAGACTAGCAGCCATTTTGTTGACTTCTTGCAAATGTCATAAGTCATAAATTAAACTTCTCCCTCCTTTTTTGAATGAGACAAGACTGATAAGAAGCAGCTATTAAACAGAATTACGGTAGTTACCAAATGCAACTGCATTTAAAGCAAGTGTATGTAGTCAATCTCTTTTGAAGGGTAAAGCGATTCACGAGAGAAATCCATTGGCACTTTCTTTAGCGTGGCAGATTAAGTACCTTCATGTTGCAAGTAGAGGGCTTTGTAGTAGGTTGCTTGTGTGAAAAAGTGATATTTAAGTTCAAAAGAAGACATCCTGGAGTGCAGCTGGTCAAGACACTGCTGCACAGGTTCTGAGCTAGAGGTCATTCCCATCCATGTCTAGAAAGGTAAACTTGGGTCAGTATATGAATGTGTGAACAAACACAAGTCTTTAAGAAATTGTAACCTTTCAGCAGCATTCAAATTCTATTTGTGCTTTTGGTTTCAAAGCTACTAAGGTTCTTGAGATGTGTAAGAAGCTAAATTTAGTGTGGCTGTGTGGTTGGTTGACCCTGACTGGACACCAGGTGCCCACCACAGCTGCTCTATCTCCTCAGCTAGACAGGGGAGAGAAAATACAATGAAAGGTTCATGGGTTAAGATAAGTCAGGGAGAGATCACTCACCAATTACCCTCACTGGCAAACCAGACTCATACTGGAGAAATTAGTATAATTTATTACCAATCAAATCAGAGAAGGGTTATGGAAAATTAAACTAAATCTTAAAAATGCCTTAAAAAGTTCCACTCCTCCCTTCTTCTGAGGCTTAAAATTACTCCCAGTTTTCTCTACCTCCTCTGTGCAGAGGCTGGGAAATGCAGGCTGCAGTCAGTTCATCACACATCACCTGTGCTGCTCCCTTCTCCTCAGAGGGGACTCCTCACACTCTTCCCCTGCGTCACCGTGAGGTCCCTCCTGCAGGAGACAGTCTTTTATGAACTTCTCCAGTGTGAGTCATTCCCATGGGGGGCAGTCGATCAGGAACAGACTGCTCCAGCTTGTGTTCCTCACAAGATCACAAATCCTGCCAGCAAACCTTCTCCTTTCCACCAGTCCAGAGGTCCTGACAGGAGCCTGCTTCCCATGGGGTCCCAGCCTCCTTCAGGCATCCACCTGCTCCAGTGTGGGGTCCTCCACAGGCTGCAGGAGGATCTCTGCTCCACCATGGACCTCCCTGGGCTGCAGGGGCAGAGCTGCATACCACGGTCTGCACCCCAGGCTGCGAGGGAGTCTCGGCTCCGGCACCTGTAGCACTTCCTGTCCCTCCTTCTGCACTGACCTGGCTGTCTGCAGAGCTGTTTATCTCACATACTCTCATTCCTCTCTCCTGGATGCAATTGTGAAGGTTTTCTTTTTTTTCTCCTCCTGCTTAAGCATCCCAGAGGTGCTACCACTGCTGCTGACCTTGACCAGTGGCAGGTCTCTCTTGGAGCCAGCTGGCACTGGCTCACTCAGACACTGTGGGAAGCTTCTGGCACTTTCTTGAAGAAGCTGCTCCTGTAGTTTCTCCTCCACCAAAACCTTGCCACAGGCTGTTAGCATGAAGAACATAAAATCTTCTATGAATTGAGTTCAGAAAAAAATTATTTTTATTCACTGTTCTCTACAAATATCTTTAATGCCATCATAGCCTGAAGTATAAGTAAAACTAGTTCAGTTGTCAGGTTTTCTGGTACTGTGCAGGAAGACTGAAATAGTTGCTACCAGGTCATCAGGTGGGATGTGTTTTCAAATATAAGTGGGCCTGGTACAGGAAACTTGTGTTTCAACCTTCTTCCATTTCTCAAACATCCTACATTGAGTGTATACTGGGGCTACTGAGAAAGCAAGAAGTGTAATTAGTATCCATAATGTATATTCTCATAGACTGAAAAGAGAGGAGAACTCTTTTGTTCAAAGGGTAGCTGAGCAGATTGAAAGCAAGTATCTGGACTTGTGTTCACACATTTATGCTGAGTAATATGGGTGCTTGAGAGCTCAAGGTACTCTGGAAGTCACAAGAATGAAAGCTACAAAATTATTTAAGGATTCAAGAACATGAGCTTTTTCTTCTATTGCAGTTTCATATTTGAGTAAGATCAATACAGTGTAAGAGTAGAACTTGTGGTCTTTTGGTAAAGTACAGGCCATCTGTGATTCTTTCCTATATCTTCAGCTAAAAAGAGAGTAACTTCATGCTACAAATCTTCCTTTGGGGAAGCTGAAGAGCACTGTGGAGTTTCACAGTGTACTTTATATTTTTCACAGGGCCTTGGCATATGCATCTCCTGTTGTAAAACTGAAAGCCTTGGATAGATTAGTGATGGGGCTTAAGAAGTACCCAGTAACCAAGTACCCACATGGCTCCAAACAACGAGCCTTTCATAGAATAACAGAATGGTTTGGGTTTGGCAGGACCTTAAAGACCATCTTGTTCCAATCCAAGCCCCCTGCCATGGTCAGGGACCCCTTCCACTAGAGCAGTGAAGCTCAGCTGATCAGAATTCAGTGATGGTACTTCTAATTTCAAATGTTTATAACAGTCTACACTTCAGAATTTATTATTTAAAAACACTACATATCTTATGCTATTATGTGCAAGTCAGTAGTCAGTTCATACCTGGCTTCCTGACAGGAGGACAGTTGATCTGGAAGTAGCAGCAGATAATTTGGTCTAGATCAGGTCACACTTTTTTTATATCCATGTAAGGCAGTTAAATCCATCTACATAGCTTATTAGTTTCATCAGTGCTGCTTGATTTTGCTTTTTTGCTTTTCGCCCTTTTTTTTAAAAAAAAAAAAAGTTCTTTATTTGACTTGCTGGCTAAGGCTTTTTAAAATGTAAATAGCAGTCTTGTACCTCTAATACGAAATGCTGTGAAGCTGAGAGGAGAATCTGACCTACTCTTACAAAAGAAAACAAAATTGAGAAAGGGTGGAACATAGGAACAGAGAGATCCAAGGTTTCCCACAGTATAGTAATGAATATGACCTTTAATAACTGAGGCCTTTGGATCAAATTTAAGTTGGCATTAAAATTTTCTAATAAATTCCCTGCTGAATCCCAGAGTTTTTTTCCTCAGATTTAATTCAGTAAGGTCAAAATAAAGCAAGTGCTGTCTGTGCTATTGTAATTGCTCTCAGCAGGCTGATAATGTTATAGCAGAGAAGGACCAGCTACTGTGCTTTTGTTCTTTTCTTCAAGCCCTCTCCTTCCTCCATGCTTGTTCCTCCTGCTCTCAGGTCTGCCCTACGTAGGAAGTGAAACTGTTTTAAATGCCATTTCCTTCTCATTGTAACACATTTTTTAGTGATGCTTTCCTGATTCTCTTCAACAAAGGGAATAAAATTATAGCCTGTCTTATTGCAGAATAGTTGGAGGCTATTTCCTTTCCTTAATTTTCATCCCAACATACTTTAAATTCAGCCTCTTCAGTTCTTAAAGACTGGTAGTTCTAAACATGCAATGCTTAGTTCATTTTGGCTTAGTGGTTTTAGGATTGTGGAATAGATGTACAGCTAAATGAGTTTCTCTTAGACATAGGGAGAAACACTGAATACCCACAGTACTATGTTTTATTTAAAAAAATGACAAATCACAGCTCACCGCAGTGAGGCAGTTGTAGTTTGGGTCCTACACATCTTTTGCAGCTTTCAGAAGAGTGCTGTTTGTTTCTTGTATGAGTGCAAATTTATGCGTGCTACTGGTAGATCTGTTACTGCTCTGTTGGAGGTAAATAATGCCCAGCAAAATGCTGTGATCATGGTTATCCCTGAAATGTGACTGTGAGAGACTCAGGGCAATTCTGCATGGGTTTCCTGATGCAACATCCTTCTTTTCAGAATCAGACAGTCTGTCTAAAATGTCAGCTTTCTGTCTGTAGTGGTGTAGCTGTGTGTATCATAGCTGCTCCTTTTTTAGCAAATGAAGAGGTATCTTAGAGCTCTGCAGCTGGCTCACATGAGGGGCCGTGGTGGGCCAGTCTTTTAGGTGTGGGGCTAGATACCCTTTTGTTGACTGTGGGCACAAAGTAAAAGTTAATGTTCCTCAGCATAACTGATAGCTCAGGCCTTTGCTGTTTCAAAGGCCCAATCTGGACCAACCGTTCCTATTTGGTTTCCAGCA